TGATGAAAGGAGCTATAGTCAGACTGTCAGTCAAGCTGAACCACGAGTGGGTAGGATAAACCACCCCGATGGAGGAAATGATGGACGTGGATGCAAGTACAAGGATTTCATGACATCCAAACCAACGAGTCTTTCTGGAAGCCCAACGTCGCTGGAAGTCATGGATTGGATCTCCAAGATAGAGATGATATTTGAAAGTTGCGACTACAACAACAAACAGAAGACCGATCTCGCTGTTGTACTGTTAAATTCAGGAGTACTGAGTTGGTGGAAGCTACTAGCTGATACCAAGGGAGAAGTTAGAAAAATGTCTTAGGAAGACTTTTTGGTGCAACTGAAAATGTAGTACTGCTCTGAGCAAGATCTTTTGGAGATCAACAACGAATTTGAGAACCTAAAGAAGGGAAGAATGAGTTTCACCGAGTGTGCTGCAAGTTTTACGGAGAAGATGAAGCTTGTTCCTTACCTAGTTCCGACTAAACTCTCCAAGGTCAACAAGTTTGTTAATGGATTGCCAGCGAACCTTGGTCTGATTGTCAAGCAAGCAACCACTTTGAAAGCCGCCATTTGGGCAGCTAAGAATGTTGAGACCTAGATAAGATAAAAGGGCTAGGAGAGAGTTAAGGTTGGCGAGAAAAGCAAATTTGACAGATCTTTAAGGTCCAGAATGTGACATCCCCAATTTCATGGCCAGAAAAGACCGATTTGTTTATGCTTTGTTTTATAAAATAAGAGTAATCTTTTGATTAAAAGAGTTGCGGAATTTGTTCCTAAAATAAAATATGATAACCATTTATCAAAACATTTCTCGAAAAGAATGTATTTTCATTAAATAATAAAACCTTGGGATGTCATGTTCGATACAGACCAAAAGCATAAACAATATAAAATAGACCGTACAATAGTTATTCAACTACTGATCTATAATCCAAAATCTCTCGTCAAGTCCACCAACTTATGCCCTTGTGCCATTACCTGTAATGAAAAGAAAACTGAGTGGGTCAAGCTTGGGAGCCTGGTGAGCATATAGGGTTTTCAACCCACAATAATATAATTATTATATGTAATCAGCAAACAATTAACCCAATTACCCATCCCCATTATCTTCTTAAGGTTTTACCCTAAGAACCAACTATCCTTCATTCATTTATTCGTAAGGAATTTGGCACGAATTCCATTGCTGCCAAAGCTTATTTATCAAGTACTAAATCCATAGTTATCTGGCGCTAACTCCATAGTCACCAACGTTCACTTAACAAGCGCTAACTCCATAGTCGCCAAGGCTTACTCAACAAGCGCTAACTCCATAGTCACCAAAGTTTACTCAACGTGCGCTAACTCCATAGTCGCCAAGGTTTACTCAACGTGCGCTAACTCCATAGTCGCCAAGGTTTATACAATAAGCGCTAACTCCATAGTCACCAACTATTCTATCTACCTATGTTCTACCCAACAATTTTGTAGATATAAATACTTACACAATTTAAATCATTTAACACCTGTATAAAACTCCAATTTCCATGTCCATCTCAAATAGACAAATAACATATAAACACACAGCACGTATTTCATAGCAAATACATCATATTTATGTGTTAGAAGAAAGTAACTACACACTCACACATATAAACAACAATAAACTTAATATACTCAAACCATACTTGTATTATTATCGTGTTTATGAAAGGTAGTATACACTCACTTGATCAGAAGATGATCGGACAACACTACGACTTGCAGAAGTAGTATTCTTCGGTAGATCTGGAAGATCTCCACAAAAATCGAACTTCTCGCGGGCAGAGCTTCGGCTCGGGAACCGCACTTCTCGGGGTCTTCGGGATCTCGGAACTTGCTTCGGGGCTCGAGAATATTACTGGGACTTCGGGGTATTTCTGGCACGTAAATCGAGGCAAAACGGGAGAGAGAATGGAGAAAAATAGCAAAGAAACTCGGCAGCCTCGCATCCTATTTATAGGAGGCTGGAGCCTCGGAGTACGCGGGGCGTACGCGTCCGAATTCGTCACTGCATGCGTCATCCGAAGTCCTCGAGTGCGAGTGTCGACATCTTCGCTGTACGCGGGGCGTACTTCGGATCGGACCGCTGACTCCTCTTCGGATATTGCCGGGGTTTAATAATTAAATTTAATTATTAATTAATTAATAAACTTCAAAAATTCATATCTTCTTCATACGAACTCCGTTTTCGACATTCTTTATATCCACGCGTAGGTGAGACTATGCTCTACAACTTTCGTTTAGATTCCGTCGGCTAATTTTGAATTTATTTTTATTATTTATTTTTAATAGGCCGGGATAGAAAATTTCGTTATAAATTCATAACTTCTTCGTTTGACGTCCGTTCTCGCCTAACTTTTCGTCGTTTCGCTACTAACAACGAGATCTTCGATTCTCGTTTAGATCGCTAAGGCTAAATATCACTCTAACGTAAATTTACTTTTTACGTCATTCAGTGTTGTGCCGGTTCTATCGCGAAACTTTAACAAGTCATAACTTCTTCGTTATAACTCGGATTTTGGCGTTCTTTATATGCATGGAAACCTTGTAACATATACTACAACTTAGTTAGGATTATTCATCCTAAATAATATTCTATCAAAAAGTCATTTTTGACGCTTATTGTCTCTAAATTGACTAGCCTTGATCTACGGGCGTTACACAAAAGAAGAGAAAATTCTCGAATTCTGGATGAGGAGGAGGTGAAGCAAGATGGTGCGATAAGTGCAAGAAGAAACACGTTGGAAAATATGGCGAGGAGGTGATATGTTTCAAGTGTGGAAAGTTTGGGCATTATGCCAAGGAGTGCATATTCAACAAGAAGGTGTGTTTCGGATGTAAAGAAGAAGGTCATATTTCTAGGGACTGCCCGAAGAAAAATGAAGCAGCAAATCCAAATGCACTGCCAAAGCCAAAGGCAAGAGCATTCCAGATGATCCTCGACGAGTAGGTGACAATGCAAGGGATCAGGAGTGAAGATCTGTATATCTGAAGATCTGGATATAAAGTAGCCTTTCAAATAGTATCATGTGGTGTAGCCTATTAGAGGCATAGTATAGGGTGAACTTCAACATCCATGAAATTATTTCAAGAAATAATATAGACCTTGGTTATGTTATCTGAGATGCTAAATGACTATGTGAAATTCTTGTATGATGAATTGGAGAACCGCGAGACAATACTTGGGACGAGTATTAGTAGGTGTGAAAGGTAGTAGAGGTGTGTACTACCGGAAGCACATGACTCGCACTTAGAACATGGAAAGTCACAAGGTTACCAAGGCGCTAGTAATTGATTTTGTTTTGTTTATGTCTGTTTTTACCATTGTTTCAGTAATGACTAAAAAGATGATTGTTATTTTGACCCTAATGGTCATATCAAATTGATTCCGAATAAGATAAGTATGTTACGTGGTTCAGAGAACCAAGATCGATATAACATCTTACTTAAGCCAAAAGATTGAAGTGAAAGATAATCGAAACGATTAATAGAAGTATTGCGATTGGTGGGATGTCAAGTCCACCAATCAAATTACACCCTTTGTTTGCAAATAAAATGTAATATAATGGTAAAAAGGGGTATCGATCCTCGGGGAAATGGTTGTATTCAATCACCAATGCAATCCAATAGAACTAGTGTAAATAAACTAACTAACTACAATTAAACTAAAATGGGGGGGGGGGGGGTTGTTATGATTGCTTGAAAACTAAAAGACTTGAATAACTATAAAACTTGCAATTAAGCAAAGTGATGAGATGCTCAAATATTGGAGAGAATTGGTTAACCAAGGCAATTCAACACAATGAACATTTGTGTGTTTATCATTAGGATTTAATTTGAAGCTTATCATTCATCCTAAATTGGTTATAGCAATCATGAAGCATGAGATTCCAAGATTCCTCATAAGTTGTATGGAGGTTGGGGAAGCCCACAACACACCTTATTAATCAAAATCAAGGATCTAATTGAAACAATTGAACCCAAGACGTTGATTAGCCTTAAGAATGAAGGAATACCCAATTCCTACAGGATGCCAATGCTTACATATCCATAAAGGAGTTATGATTCATAAGCTAGGGATGATTTCTACCATAATAAAGCCCTTATTCTAAGTAAATTCAATGATTCAATGCTAAACCAAAGAAATAAACACTACTAGAAAAATAGCCTTTTACGACGCACAAACCACGACACTCACTGATTTACGTTACGTAAAAGAGAGTGACATTAAAAAAGTGTCATCTATTCAAAAAGTTTAATGATTTAGGTCGCGTATTACTGTGCGCCCTTAAATTAGTGTGTAATCCAAAAAAAAAACATGGAGGGCACCTATTATAAAATAGGCGTCGTCTATGGATGTCGCTTTATAAATTTTAATGGAACGCGCGTTCCATCCCTTAATAACCAGGGGGGAAATGAAAACCTAAAAAATTAAAAACACCGCCTTCCTTTTTTCTCCTTTCCCTCTTGCCCTCCTTTCCCTCTTGCCCTAATTATCGATGCTCAAATGAAAAGGAACGACTACGATGCAAAGTTGAAATTGGTCAGAGAATACAGTCTACGATGCAAAGTTGAAAAGGAACGACTCAGCAAAATCCGTAATGATGTGAGAATGCTTCTAACTCTTGAGGATAAAGATCCATGAAGAATCTTCGAAGGCGAAGCTCTCATGAGGAGGATGCACATGTATGGTTTTCTGGATGAACGTTCTTACCCTCACTGTTGAAAACTTCATTGAACATCGTCTTCCAACCCTCGTCTTCATTGAACAGATTATTTATCTTATCAAAAAATCACAGGGGCCATTATCTAGGGATTTTTTCAAGGAGTGCTCTTTGCAACGTTCTCTACCTCAACTCTCCTCACCTGCAAGCGACCTCAACTCACCTCTTTCCACCATAGACCTTAGGCTCACCTCACCTCACTGGAGAATGGAACGACTGCTCAAGTTTCCAAGCCCTAGGGCTGATTAAGGTATGTTTATCATGATCTCGACACATCTCAACAACACCACTACAACTCATTCTCAGTCATCGACTTACTCTTCTAACCAATGTTCTCCGTATCGCCTACTTCTTGCCTTCCCATGGTTCGCGAATGAGATCCGATTTACCAAACACGAATCCATGTGAGTTTTTCCCTTTGTGTTGTATCTGAAGAAATTAAAAAAGTTTATGATCAATGTTTATGAGAATTACTTGATTTACCTGATTGAAATCAGTCTCCATAGAAAAATGATTTTAGCACAAAAAAAGTGAATTTGGAAATTTTTGCTTCAACAACCAATTGATGAGCATTTCGATTCTTCTGTGTAGAATCAGATATGAGGCAACTTTTCATTTCAGGTGTATCGCGTTTTTAGTCTTTATTAGGTCAAATGGTTCACATTTTGGTTTGATTAGCAAAGTAGGATCTTTAGTACACAAAATGGCGAACCAACTACGAACAATTCATTTAATCTTTTTAACGTAAATAATTCACGTTGTTTTTTAGGGATCTTTGAGGCTACTTACTGATATCTTGTATCCTATGTTAAAAAAAGATGGAATTGGACATGCCTCTTGATTACGCATCATTCCAACTCTCACCAAAACATTCAAGGTAACTTCAATTTTTAATACTTAATAGTACAATTTGTTTTGATGATTTTGTCTAACTGCATTTAATCCTTTTATCCACCTTTTGTGCAGATGTGAATTGATTGTTTCCAGTATTGGAAACACTGAAAAGCTTGCATCGTGTAACACCGGAAATTTAAAGCCAAATTTTTTTATTTTTTTTAATTTTTTTTTTATAAAAACATAATTCCATTAATATTCATAAAAACAACCATTTTACTTGTTCCTCATAAAAACAACCATTTCAATAGTTCAACATAACAGTACAAAATCCCAAGATCAACATGTAAAAACTCCAAACGTGTGTGTACGGATCAAGCCGGCGCCTTCCCGCGGTCGTCACTAGCACCTGAAACAAATAACATCAACACTGTAAGCACAAAGCTTAGTGAGTTCCCCAAAATACCACATATAACACATATTAGCCACTCGAGGCTATAACTTTGTGGGTCCGTGCACCCAAAATCCGTGAACCCTCAGGTTCTAGCTCTGAATAACATGCACTACATAAATCACATAGAAATCATGCAGTACAACACATAACATACATAGCATACAATTACTCAATCACATAACTCTGGTTACCTACTCAAGGTAAAGTATAGAGAGGAGACTCACCTCGATGTCTCGGTAAATATCTGACTCGGAAGAAGTGTGATCTAGCCTCCGCCTAATCACATAAAACTCTCATAAATACAACTGTACTCAACCCTAAAAGTCAACAAGGTCAACGGTCAAACTTTGACCCGACTCGTCGAGTGCACTAGGGCGACTCGGCGAGTCTACACGTGTCCACTGACTCTCTTAGATCCTCTCTTGGCACGTCGAGTACTCCCCTTGATCCGACGAGTTCCACCTAGCATGAATCGTGGGGCCACCCCGACTCAACTCGCCGAGTCTCAGAATAACTCGGCGAGTTCCAACTTGAACTTAGACCCCTGACTCTCCCTGACTCACCGAGTCATTTCCCCCAACTCGGCAAGTCCACTCACTGAGTGATTAACGGGCCACCTTCATACTACTCGCCGAGTCCGTTCTTTGGACTCGGCGAGTTCATGCCATGCACGAACTCAAAACAACTTCTGAGGTCAGATCTGTTCCATACAATCATAGATCTGGCCTCCCCAAGCATGATAATCACGTAAAGTTGGGACCTTGACACACATATAACATCTAAATGGTCCAAAATGGTGCTTTAGCCCCAAAAATGACATTCCAAGCTCAAGACTCCCAAAATGACTCATAAAGCTCCATGGGTTAAGGTCTCTGGACCTCTTTGGGTCCAGATCCAAAACACAACTCGAGAAGGGACCAACTACTCCACTTAATCAACCTCTAAAAGGGTTAGAAAACCCTAACACTAAGAATAAACACCAAAAAGTGAAGAAGGTCCGAGAATAATACCTCAATACAGCCTCTATGAGCTCAAAGACCACAAAAATCGCACCTCCTTCAGCCTCCTCTTGCCTTGAACACTTCCTTCTTGCAACAACACCCACAAAAGTTCAAGATTGGCCTCTCCTTCCTCACAAACGCTCTAGATCTCTTTAGGGTTTCTCTCTGGGGGTTGGGTGAGCACAAAAGTCGGCCATAAGGTCCTTTAAATAGGCCACAACCCGGAGATTTAGGGTTCCAATACACAACGAGTACTCGCCGAGTCCATACCCTGGACTCGGCGAGTCCAAGTCCGCACCCCCCATCAGTTCTGCGTCCCTACTCGGCGAGTTCAAGCCCCAACTCGCCGAGTCCCTCTCACAAAATAACACAATTAAATTTATATAATACCTGAAAAAATCTGGATGTTACACATCGGGTTTAGTGAAGCCAATTTTGACACATTTGAAGGTTGTGGAGGAACAAGTTGGATCCTCAGCTCAATTCATTAAGCTTGAAGTAAATAAACGTAAAAATGTGGACTCATGGTGCACAAAGGGAACACTTGAGAGGTAGTGTCGTTATACAAAATTTAAAGCTTATACGTTTGAAATTTGGATATAATCATATAATTGATAGCTTTTGTCATTAGGTTTGTTCTTTTTGTAAGTACACCTAAAATTGTTGAACTAGTGATCACCTTTGATGCTGAGATGTCTCAACTAGAAGCAGCTCGTAAAATATATTTCACATGTATGTGGTTTTAATTTTTAAACTATGTATAATTGTTCATATACATATATAATTAAGGGTGTTCATTTAACTAAAGGTTTCATGTTAGTTTCAGGGATCATCTGATTAACCATCGAGTAACATAGGTGATGGTAGATCAAGCACAACAACTAGGGCTGATGCAATAAAGTATAGTTAAATTTTATTGAATGTGCTATCTTTTTTTGGTTTTGTTGCAGTCTGTGTTGACTGTTGAGTTGACTATTCGTTTCCTTTTTTACAGGAAGGAGCTTTTGAGGGAAATTGATGTAAGGCTGATAGCTGTGAAGCAGGATTTGAATACAGCTTGTGCTCGTGCCACTGCTGCTAGTTTTAACCATGACCCAGTAGCTAACCTCCAGTTGTTTGCAGAGAGATTTGGTGCCACTCGCCTAAAGTAAGAAATATTTTCTTCCATTTTTATCTTTTTTATTGTGTCATTTTTTATCTTTAATTGTATCTATCTTCCACTTTCTAACAACAATACTCATTCTATCCTTCTACAGGATCTTCGCAAATAAGGTGGTGTTCTTTGATTGGTTCAAGATGAAACTTCCTCAATGCAAAGACTCTCATCTTATGGTGGTGGTTTCTAGGCTAAACTCAAAGATTTTATCTATTGTAAGTTCTTATTGTAAACTACGATCTTATGTTAAATTTATTAAAGGATTTTTTTTCATTAATAGCTTTAAATCCTCTTTCTTCAGATGCTACAACTTTGTGAAGTCAAAATCATCTCTTTTTTTTGGCTGCAAGCACAACTGAAGGCTTAGTTTTAGCTAAGTATACTATATCTGAGGTTTAAAAATGAGGTTTATTTAAGACATTATCATAATAATTATCAAATTAGTTTGCATGATGTTTATATTCGTGTAGGAATTAGGTATTAACAAGATACTAATTGTTGATTGAGATGTTTTATCCTTGTGGTGATGATAGATCATATGACATGAAGGGTGAGGGAGAAGGTGAAGGGTACAATATAAATGTTCCATGGGAGATGGAAAATGTGGTTATGCAGATTATATTGCAGCATGGGACCATATACCAATCCATGTTGCAAGAGAATTTAAACCTGATATAATTCTAGTTTCAGTAGGATTTGATGCAGGTCAGTTCTACTTCTACTAACTCTCGGTGTTCATAAAGTTATGTTTTTTGGACTATAATTTTTCATTTTTGTATTTTTAAACAGCTATTGGTGATCCTCTTGGAGGCTGTTGTAGTACACCAATCCATGTTGTATTTTTAAACAGCTATGGGAGGTTCCAGAAGAGGAATTTAAAACTGTGATAGATACTAATCTAAAAGGAGTAGAAAATATGTTACGTCACTTCATTCCTCTTATGATTGAGAAAAAACAAGGGATTCTTGTTAATATGTCGTCTGGGTGGGGAAGATCTGCTGCAGCACAGGTAAAAATTGAAACCAATAAAACATTTTTTTAATATTAAGTCTTTCTGTCTGGATAAATTGTTGTATACACAAAGTCTTTCTTTACTAGACTAAATAAACCATATGAATCATACTAATAAACCATATGAATCATACTAAATGTCAACTTTATAAATTAACATAGATAGGCATAGCTGTTTTACTTTTATTAAAGATCAGATTAATAATTTTTTTAACTTTGGTTTAAGATCCTTCTAATTTAGCTCTTCTCTCTATCCAGTTTTTGTTTTTTTCTCTTCAATTTTCTTTATGTTTTTTTATGAGATCATCTCCAATGATAGTTTTTTTTTTAAAGCTTTTTACTATTTGAAAAAGCTTACCATTGGAGAAGAAGACTAACACTTATTTTCCCTAACCTTTTATTTGTCTTTTAAGCTCTGTCACATTTGATATTTACATTTTCTAGCTCTTTATTTATACACCAACTATATTTACATATTAGATTTATTTTAGGCTTTGTATTTAGTTAATTAATTTATTTAATAAACAAAATAAAAATTATGCAGTTACATAATCTTTTATCGTTTTTTCATTATAATGTTGAATAATGTTTTTTTTTTTTTTTTTTAATTTTAATAATAATTTCATGTAAGAGTTTTTTTCTCCGAAAATACTACATATGTTGGTAAAATTATAAATTGTACGAGTGGATTTAATAGAACATTTAAGATAGATAAAAAGATAATTTGATTAACTTTTGAGAAAAGCTTTATAAAAGGTTCACCATTGAAAAGGTTCTTTAATAAAAGTTTTTTGCCAAATAGAAATATAAAAATTAATAATATGACAGAAGTCAAAATACTTTTGTTTAATCGCTGAGATGGCATTATATTTCTAAGATGTTAATGGGCTTATATGCTTTCATAAATTCCAAATTCCAAAATATCGAAACTTTTAGATATGTCTGCAGCATGTAAGACTCTAATTTTTATCATTCTGTTCTGTTGAGTCACATTGACTTGTTAACCAAATCATGGGAATGGATGTGTGCAGGTTCACTGTGGGAGTGGACGAGTGTTAACTAAACCTTTTGCTTTTTTTTTGGGGGGGGGGGGGAGGGGGATAGGAGGTTAGAGGCGGATTCACGTTGGTTGGGATTTGATTGGGAGGGGGTCTACCGAGATCGGTGGGTTTAGGAAGAGTCTAGATGATGATGAGACACATGGCAGCTATTGGTGAAACGTATGCCCAAACTGCCCTTGAAGATGCTGCTTGGAACCTGTGGCATGTAAATCCTTCTCAGGCCAGCACATCTACATCCACTTCTTCTTCAAACAATCCAAATCCTTTCACAAGTACTGTAAGACACCAAGGAGGGCACACTACTCGGGGTGGGGGTGGGTCCCTTATCAGAACCATGCCAACTCCACTTGTCCCGGATGTTGACTTGTCAAACATAATCGCCATGGTTGAAACCGTTCGTGAAGTCCTTCCCCATGTCCCTGATGAATTAATATTACAGGTACCTATCCCCCCCCCCTCTCTCTCTCTCTCAATTCCTTTTTATTTAATTTTTTGAATTGGACATGGACATGAACATGATACGATAAAAAGAAAGGCAAGGGTCAGTAGTCATTGGTCATTGGAGGGAGGTTGTGTGCTGACGTCAGCCACCCAACCACACACAGTGTCGTGTAATATTTGAGAGCTATAGTTTTTTGTATATAGGAAAAAATAAATTAGACAAAAATATTGATCAAACTATAGCCCCCCTCGCTCCACCTGATTGAGCTTTTAGGGAAAAATGAAAAACAAATTTGTTATGTATTATTGATTGAGATTATGTATGTGACTGATTAACTGGTTTGCGTTTCTTGTTTTGTATTAATAATTAATTTAATGAAAGGGATCTATTATGTGGGACAGGGATAGGGACAGTGGAGGTGGTCAAGTGAGACCTTGTTGCTTTTATTGGGGTCTAGTGCTTATATTTGGGAGTTGGGACTGGATAATAAGTAGGAAAATGGTTGTTTATACCATATATCTTCAACCCATCTAGCTTCGAATGGCAGAAGTATGCTTCCAATTATTTTATTTTCTTTTTCCAAATTCATGAATCTATATTATAAGATATGATGATTGGGATGTGATGTCAACAGAGTTGTGGAAGATTTTGATGATTGGATTAATTGGCTTATGTATAAAGGTGGAGTTGGAGTGAAAGGAGACAATAGTTGGGAATCTTGGCGGGATGAACAGGCACATATCCAGAAAATCAGAGGGCGTGTACTTGAAACTATATTGTGCTTGTGGTTCTTCATATTTAAATACGAGATAGTCTACAAGCTCCAGCTCACTGGAAATCATACATCATTATTGGTACTTACAATTTTTATTTATTTCACTTTTTTTCTATGTGAAAATATACTGACAAAAAATACATTACATGACATGATATGTTAGATGAAATTGTGATGATATACTCTCTAGTTCATAGGATCAAGGATTGTCTATTACCCTGAGGTATTATCTGCAACGAACATTGATTCTTCTAATAATTAGATTTGTAAATTACTTTTTTGACTTTTATTTGATCAGGTCACAAGAATTATCGGAGCAGGGTTTTCATTAGTCTTAAAGAATTATGAAAGGAAAGATGCAACTCTACTTAGTTGGAATTTGATGTTTATCATATTTGTGTATATCTTTTTAGTTTGTATAGCATTACATTGCCGAAATTGTCCCTTAATAGCAATGTAGCAAGCTTGCTGTTAACATCTCGTGTCAGAAATACAAACACATATCGAAAACCATTTTCTTTCACTGTTGCATTTAAAACCTATATTTCAGTTTCAGATATCAGGTATTAAGTTTTTTTCGTTCTTTTCCATGTATATATTACATATAATCATGTTAGAATTTGGTTTATATTAGTTCCTATCAAATGGACTTAATATCATGTTTTTTATTATTGCATCATCTTAGTTGTTCCCAATAGAATGGTGTAGCTGTGTTTTCAAAAAAGATTTCATTCTCTTGTTTCAGTGAAATCTTTGTAGAAGGATTGAAGACGCTGAAATTAAGCACAAGGTACAACCAACAATCAAGATTCTTATTTCAGATAAGATCACAAATTCACAATATATTTATGTGTCTTTGTTATACATATAGATAAGGAAGGTAGATCCGACTTGGGACATGGAGGCAGATGAAGGAGACAATTACACACATATTCCAATAAGAAATAGAGTTGGATGATTATTTGATAGTTTTATAGGAATATATAACTCATGTTAGCAATGTATTATTTTTGTTTAACATTTGAATGATTATTTGTATGAAGTTTTATAATTTGTGCAATTTATTTTATTTTTTGTGTATGAAATTTTATTTTATATTATGTAGTGGATTGCATTTTTTGTATATGGTATTTTATTTCTATTATGATACATTAAATGAAAATTTAATTTAAAATCTATAAATAATATTTTTTTTAAACATTTAAAATTATGATACGCAAAAATGTGTGTCATCTTCATTTATGACATGGCCTTTCTTGACAGGGGCTTTCTTGATACGCATTGTGTGTCATTAACATGCGCGTCGTAAGGTTATGACACACGAATGCGGGTCGTCTTACTTTATGACAGGGCCTTCCTTGATACGCATTGCGTGTCGTAAACGCGCGTCGTAATTGTGCGTCGTAAATGAGCGTCGTAAATGCACGTCGTCTATAGATGACGCGCAAAAGCGCGTCGTCTCTCTTTATGACAGGGCCTTCCTTGACGTGCATTTGCGCGTCGTCTGAGCCTTTTACGACGCGCAATGAGCGTCGTAAAAGGCTGTTTTTCTAGTAGTGAAACCAACAATTGCTTATTAAAGTACCAAGCTCAAGATCAATGCATTAAACAAGCATAGGAAATATGAACAAGAATCATAGACATAAGATAAAGGATAAATAAGCATAAATCCTTCAAAAATCTAGAAACATTCAAAGGTTTTAACCAAGGTCAACCAAAATAGAGAAATTTGCCACTCGTGGCAATAGAATAACAATCACAAAAGTCTAATTTCATCAAGAAACTAACAATTACCTTGGAAGATAAGAAGAATGCGTATCGAAGCTCCAAAAATCGCCTCCTCTGGTCTTCAATGGTGGAAAATTGAAGCCATAGCTGAAAGATCCAACCCTTAAGGTAAATGGTAAGCCAAATGACCAAAATGCCCAAAACTAGGCAGTTGGCAGGGTACCCGCACATGTGAGATTCCACCCGTACAAATATTGTTGGAATGCTATTGGCTTATTTTTTTTCCTCCACTACACCATTCCACTACCCAAGATTCCCTTGGTCCCCTCCATATCCCACATGATTCAAATTAACCAATCATCTTTTAGCTTCAAATATGGATGCTGTAAGCCCAAAACAATAATCCATGACCCATCTTCACAAGCCCACTTCATCCAACTCTTTAGCTTTTTAAGCCCAAATCTCCTTTAATGGATCCACAAAGCCCAATAATGCATCGGAAGCCCACAAAGCCCATTCCAAGTTAATCCACAACCGCAACAAGCTCCAAAACCCTACAAAATACTTCATGCAAAATAAAAAGTCCCCAGTACGATCCATGATAAAGAAAATAAATAAAATACAATGCAATATTGATAAAAAGATCTAAAAATATGAAATAAACTAATAAAAATAAGGAAATAAAATAAGCTATCAGTGATCACCATTAAAGTAAAGAAGCTTGTAGCTAGAAGTACTACATGCTAGGATGTGATTATATCACATTAGAACATGAAGGAATGTATATTCCATTCTGGAATTTGACTCTAAGAGACCTAAGTCTAAGCATTGCATCATACGATGAGAGGTCATTAGAACATGACCCATCAGCCTGTCATGATAATCGAAGTAAAGAACTTCTCTTGAGTTAATTTTGTTTATAGGAAGAAGTTGTCTCCAATAAAGATCGATTTTATAACTTGAAGGTCACGGTTGGAAGTCCAACATAGAATAAAGAGCGAGTGTAAGATTAAGCACCATTTGTAGTAAGATTAAGCACCATTAGAACATGACCCATCAGCCTGTCATGATAATCGAAGTAAAGAACTTCTCTTGAGTTAATTTTGTTTATAGGAAGAAGTTGTCTCCAATAAAGATCGATTTTATAACTTGAAGGTCACGGTTGGAAGTCCAACATAGAATAAAGTGTTGGATTAGTGTCTAAGTCCATAACTATTTTGGTATGTACTTGACCCGATAGTGCATGGTCCTTTTGGGTTGCCTTCACCAAAGCAACTTGATAGGATGAATTATGGAGAGTAAGGATTAAATATGGTTTATTAATATATTATGGGAATAATATATTAAAGGAGAGATCATATTGTTTAATTA